ATGATCGTTAAGAAATAAAAAAAAAAAAAAAAAGAAAAAAAAAAGAAAAGGAAAAACTTGTCGGACAATCAAATCAAATGAAAAATCAGCTGATTTCTGATTTTTCAAAAACGATTTTTCTTCGCGCGATATTAATAATAATAAAAAAAAAAAAAAAAAAAAAAGAAGTCAATTAAGTCGAATGAAGTTGACTGATTTCTACATAGGAAAAAAAAAAACCCAAGAGAAAAAACCAAAAAAAGAAAAAAAATACAATCGTCTCAAATAATAAACAAAATTATACTAAATCGATTAATTCGTAAATACAATGAAATAAAATTTGATTAACGATAAAATTACAAAAGCATTCCATTTACTTGGACTAACTCGCGTTAAATAATAAAAATTGAAATGTAATAAAGTCAATTGACCTTTTTTTCTTTTTTTTCTTTCTCTTTTCTTCTTCTTTTTTTTCTTTTTTATACGATTCAAAATCAATTAACAATCATTGAACAATGATTTCGAACGCTTTACAAAATATTTAACGATGAAACAAAGATCGATTCAATATTTGAGAATATATATATATATATATATGTATTCGATGACAATGAGTATGATGATGATGATGATGACGATGATGATGATGGCGTGTGATGATGTTTTTATAAAATCTACATCGGCGTACCGTGTGTATTTATGAGAAAGCCAAATGGTTCGTTCGCCGACTGTAGGAAATTCGAACCCCTCAAAGGCTGCAGGCTGACTCCTTTTTTACCAGCTACTCGACTCCCGCCGTCTCATGGCGAAACGTTTGTTCAGTGACTCTCAATTCTGACGTTTCGATCGACTTCCTCGAAATTCTATTCGATTAGATTCGATTAGATTCGTTTCGATTCGATTCGATTCGATTTGACTCGTAGAAAAACGAAAAAAGAAAAAACAAAAAAAAAAAAAAAACAAAAACAAAAACAAAAAGCAAAAATTTCCTTCCTCCTCTCTTGTCGTTCCATTATTTTTCTTTTTTTTTTTTTTTATCAAGACTATCATAAAATTTTGATTGACAAGAGCGATCCGATCGTTTTTATTGATTTGCCTTTCCTTGGATCAGATTTTATCTTTTATTTTTTCCTTTCTTATTTTTTTTTTTTTTTTGTTTTTTTGCTTTTTTTTCTCTTCTTATTTCTCCCCTTTTCTTCTCTTTTCTTCGACTTTCATCGTCGTGAAATTTTCATTTCAATCGTACGAATATTAGAATTATTCATTATCTTAGAATTAATTGTCAATTGATTCGTCTCGTTCTTTCGTAGGTAATAATTTTTCCCTGATCCCAAACTCCGCACCCTCAGCTTTTCTAAATATCTGTCTGTTGATCGTCGTCCATTTTATTGGAGAGACATTGGATCTCGTATCAAAATACAAAAAAAAAAGAAAAAAAAAACAAAAATCGAAGAGAAATACGTCGTTCGTGGCGTACGAATTGAAAGGGAGAGATAAATTAGAAAAACAGAAAAAAAAATGCATAAATGAGTAAAAAGGAAAAACAAAAAAAAAAAAAAGAAAAGAAAAGAAGGAAAAAAAAAAAAGAAAAAAGGAAAGAGTAGAAAAAGAAAGACAAATCGAACGAGGCGATATAATCGATCGAAATAAATCAGATCTATTATCGATCATCACGAGGATCCTCGTGTATCGTAATATAGAAAAAAAAAAAAATAAAAGGAGGAGTAAAAGGGAAAAATGAGATGAAAATAAAAAGCAAAAAAAGAAAGAGAGACGGAGAGAGAGAAAGAAACAGACAAAAATAAATCAAAAAAAGAAAAAAAACGAAGAAGAAGAAGAAGAAGAAGAAGAAGAGAAAGAAGTAAAAGTAGGGTGTTAGAAGGAAAAAGGGCCCAGCCCTGAAATTACATCATGAGATAGATCTACTTAGATCTATATGATCTAACGATCGAGTGAACGAACAAACGAAGCAACCGAGAGCAAACGAAGCCAACGAAAAGGCAATCGTATAAAAGCAGACGATTACAAAATCGGCATTTAATCTTAACCAAAGGCGTAGACTATCTCACAATTCCATAGAAATTTATTAGATACAGATTAACATATATTTCCTTACATATATATATATATATACATACATATATATACATATATATGTATGTATTTATGAGCCGATCGTACGATCATATCGAGTTAACACGAAGGTAGCTTATCTTACCGAACGTAGTAAATGTACCTTAGCTTTACCACGAATAAAGAAAGACGGATATAGAGACAGAGAAATACTAAGAGAGACAGAGACAGAGAGAGAGAGAGAGAGAGAGAGAGAGAGAGAGAGAGAGAGAGAGAGCAAGAGAGAGAGAAAGAGAATGTGTATATATATATACTTGTATATTATCCGTGTGTGTATATATCCGTATGTGTATCCGTATGTGTATCCTTGTGTGTATGATAGAGAGAGAGAAAGAGAGAGAGAAAGAGAGAGGAGATATTGGGAAGGAAGAGACGTCATTGGTGGAAA